ATGTTAAAGTAGGAACAGCGAGCTTTCCCAAATATTGAAGCATTGTTTCACCTTGGGGATGATAGTGCAAGAGCTTGCTGGAGTCAGAAAAGAACATGATCTCTCTGTCCATAAATCACAAAGCCTGAGACAGGTTTACTAGCGACCGTGATCCAGTTTTCTTTTTTCAGTCAGCCCTGTGCAGCTTATGTGGATTTCAACTGAGGACAATAAGCATTTGATTAAAAAAATAGGTCAGGATGCACACATTTAGTTTTTCATAAAGAAAAGGTATTTCAGTTTCCTCTCATTTAAGCTTGTTGCCCAAACTTTTTTATCAGCTTTCTTTTAATCAAGATTATTTTTAAATACTCAAATTTTTTAGAGAACAGGGCTTTGCTGAAGCGGAACTTTTTCTTCTTTTACTGACTTTTTGCAGCCACTTCAGGGACACTAACTTTCTATAATACGGACCTCAGTGGAGGGCTGAGGGGAAACTGTGACTTAAGATCCTGATGTCTGTTAGGAAAACCATTAATTTATATGGGGTTTTATGACATGTGGACAAGCGGCGTGTATTTGTGGCTCAAAAATGCAGTGCAGAGGACACAGCTGCACCATATTTTAATGTGTCTTGTACAGCTTCACCAGGAAAAAAAAAGCAATTCGTTTTGACGCTTGCATTAATTGGAATCATTTGTTGTTCATTTTTTCGCATTTGTTGTGGTTGCACAATTTCCATTTGTTTCTGCTTATAGTTATAGCTCATTCATGCACATTTAGCTCTTTAACAAACCTGTTTATTTCATGGTCATAATATGAAAACATGAAACACATGGGATACCACTACCCATTTTGTTACTGGTTCATAGGAGATGTGCACTGGATAACAACATATATACTATTGTTTATGTATATCAAGTTCTAGTCTCAAGTTAATTGCCATCTTACGCCACTGCAGTGACATAGTTGCCTTGTTATGGTGAATGCTTATTTAACGGGCTTGCACAAGGACATATAAATAAGTAAATACAAATGTTAATCATTTACTCAAGATGAATGTTATCATTTTGAACAGATCATAGTACTGTTTGGAATAATGTTGATTGAGAGAATTATTTATCTATTATACACACAAACGCTATAAAAACCTAACATTAGACCTGCATAGCAAAAATCTGAGCCTGGAACAGTCCATGGTTGATTGCATTTGTGCTTCCATTTAGAAAGGCTCTTCTTTTTGGCACACAGGCATAAATTTGTTTACACAATGCCTGAGAAGCCCCTCAGTGCCATAATTCCTGCTCAATCCCTCATTTTTCTTCCGATCTTTCTCCTAAACTGATATAAAAGAAATACTAAATAGTGGACGTGACCATTACTCTCTTCTGATTATAATTGTTTTTATGAACACCGACCATCGCATATATGCTCAAAAAGTTATGGAAAACAAAGTGTATATCTGGAACAAAGTGACACTGACAAAAAGGCCGCAATAAATTACTGACATAACTGCGTCTACAGCTAAAATGAAAGTCTGGCCAAAATATAAAAATAGATAAATATGAGAACAACTGCATGCGATTTAAATGACTAATCATTAAAGTAATGGTATGTTTTGATCCGCACTGTGATTAAACTGAAGACTAGCAGTCTAGGAAAATACGAGGTCAGGCAGGGGGAATCTGGACAAAACAGTTTTATTAAGGTTTTTTTTAAGGGGCATTATGAACATTATATAGTAGTCATGTGGAAAAAACCCACAGAGCTGCCTGTAAAAGAGTTGTACATTCATTACAGCCTTGTGTCTGGTTCTTCCAAATAACTTCTTAAATAACTCATTTTATAGCTGCTTAATCTGACTTTTATCTTATAAACTCGAAACTGAAACTCCACAAAAAAGCAGATTACTGAATGTAAGTTACTTGAATAATTGAGGATCAGCAAAGCCAGAAACCCACATGCATATCATTTGAGTGTTGGCTGGGATGTAATTCCTCATTAATCATTGTGCATGTGTTTCAGTAGCTCCATGAGTATTGAAATGTTGAAGTCTGTTTACACAAAGAATTCAAATAACCTGTTTTTGGTTAAAACCAATCTTAATGTTGCAACTCTTCACGAAAACAGCGAATAAACAGCAAGACTAACAGTCATACTCTCTCTGTTATGCCAACTCTAACTTTTAGTTTGTGCTGCACTAATGATAATTTAATAATTATCATTATCATTTAATAATTTTTAACTGTTCAAAAATGAATTATTAAGACAATTCTGATGTCCACATAGAAAAACCATTGCTGTGACCAAACTAAATCCATGATCTATAGCTCTAAAGCAAATCACTCTTCCAAAATGGTGACCCATACATATGTTGCTCATATGTGGGCCAACCTTAACAACAGAAGACATGTTTTACCAGCCTGTTCCAGCTACAGACATTAGTCGACCTCTCGGTGAAGCAGAACAAATTCAAAATTTCCCCATCTGGTAATATAATCAAAGTAAAGACAGGCAACCTGTTTGTAGTGCACTCAGCACAACTGGACAAAAACTACAGTGAAGCAGAGTATGATGCACGTACAATTCAATGAGATGAATAATAAACTATAACTAACTTCAGAAAACAAATTCGGTAATAAGAGAATGAAAAACAATTTCTTTTTTATTCACTTTGAGCACAATTTACAGAAACACAGGAACAAAGTTCTTATTAAATATGACCTTCATATGTTAAGGACTGGAGCTCAGATTCTTTGAACATCAGCTTGCCCTCGGGCATGACAGAGTTCAAAATAGTGAGCTAAAGCTGCACTGGATTAACACCGCAACATGTGTGAAGAGCATGTCCAGTCTGGTCCCAGTGTTTTGGCATCTGTGCTCAGTGAATACTGGGAATCTGTCAAACTGGAGATTAGACTTGTTGAGCTATTTTCCAGGGTCACAGCAGCTAAGAAACTGATGAGAGTCAGACTAGTAAAACAAAAACACAAGTGATTCAGAAAAAGTTCATTCTTAGTAAATTATGCATGTTGATTTGTTCTTATTGCTTTTAAAATGCCTGTAGGTTTCTGCTGTTTGATGGCGACATGCTAGGTAATTTCATAGTCATTAGAGGCGCATTTGAACCAATCATTCCCATGATTAGACAAAATGTTTCAACTATGAAGGATGCTAAAGATTTTTGATTAGATTGAACTCAGAGCAACATAAAAACTGTGCCGTTTTCACCACCTCATACTCAAAATCTATGTTTGAGGTAGGATTTGACTCCCTCTGGTGTGCAGTCTCAAAAATCTGAAATCTAGTCACTGAAGGTGTCTATGGCCAACGTGACATGTTTTTAAAATCCATATCAAATCTTCTCTTTTTGTCATTAGATGTGTAGATATTTTCTTATTGTCCTTGGGGGCTCAATAACATGTGTTAGCAATTTCAATGAGCCATTTGCAGAGTGTTGAAAGAAGAACAACGAACAAGAAGTGGGCATGTCCTGTCTGACTCACTTTCTTCTCCTCTGGAAATATTTTACAACAATTGTATCAACATTTTGATGAACCAGCATAATTTTCTGTCTAGTCGGTCAACGGTTCGTCAGAACATTAAAACGATTTAGCACCGGTAAACAGAATCCTCAGTTTCACAGCTGCTGTGAGTGTTCAGTAAACAGGATACGGTCACTGAGCAGATTAATGTTTCAGCTTTCTCAACAGCTGGGTGACCCGAGGTCAGCTCAGACCTCTGAGGTATAACAGAGGCTTTCGGGAATCTGTTTTCAATTTTTTGTTGAATACATTCATTTGAGTTACATTAATGAAAACATATCCATTTTGTTACTTTAATTGGTGATCACCTATTAAACTAACCCATGCATGTCTTTGGATTATGGAAGCAAGTTTGAGTAAGCTGCAGACACAGGAATAGCATGCAATCTTCAGTGCATAGTTTGAGTTTGGGCATCAAGCACAAGGGTCATGACCACCTTCTTCAGCACAGCCCAAACTCTCTCAGGCAAATGTTCTTGTGATTTCTTGTAAGGTCCAGGCTACAGGGAGGCCAATCCATGACCGATAGTGCTCCATTGTGCATTTTTCTAAACAAGTATTGTCGCCGGCTAAGGGGAGGAGCCACTAGCTTAAAGACTCATGGGTCTGTTCATCTGACATTCACGTGTTAAGTTACAGAGTTATAACAGCTATTCCAGTTATCTTGATCTGTTGTTGTTGTTGTTATTGTTAATGTTTAACATTATTGCAGCTGTTTTCTGTATTGATTGTGGTCAGCAATGGCCACCATGACTAAGACTGCTGTACCAGTTAATGACCACTGTTGTGATTTAGGGTGATGCAATCAACAGATACATACTGGTTGTTGAAAAGTGTAAGAAACACAGGGTCTCCAGGTCAAACTAGAGATCTCTGTCTCCTTCTTGGCTTACCTTTGCAACAGTAAAATATCACTGTAATAGCAGCATGTCTGGGATACTGCGATGCTGAAAAATCAACATATTGCCAGCCACATGCTTACCTGATGGCATTGCATGTCAGATCAAAATTAGAATTTTCTGCATTTATAGTGCATCATCCAAGATTTCCCCAAAATTTGGTTAATAGCTTCAAAGAAAAAAATTATAAATATTTTTTTAAAAACAAACAAACAAACAAAACAAAAACCTTAGCATGGCTTGAGACTGTTGAAAATGCTGCATTGTGAACTTGCTTTTCATCATAAGTTCAGCTAGTTTGCATTATTGATGAGAAGTCCTAAAAGGTGTCTCTTTATTAATATTAAGAAATATATTTACACTGCCACCGCATCATTCAGTCACCGTTTTTGAATCTATATGGAAGTGTGTATAAGTGCATAATTTCTGCTTGATATTAATGGAACTGAAATTTGATTTAATGGAAAAGAAATTGTTGCAGTTGCTCACTATGACCAATAGATGGAAGTGTCCCCTTATTCAAATGGTTCATTTATCAGTAGAAGCTATTTGAATGGGTGCTTAGTGACCTCTTGTGGTTATGCTGATGAACTACAAAAATTGTCAAGTTTAGGTGGCGTTTCACTACTTCCGGTATCTTTTTTTTCATAAAAGGGGGCTGACATGTGATCGTATTGGGCACGTCGGGTCGGTAGTGGAACTTTTGCTTTGAAAGGTCAGTAATGACCTCATGACACCACTAGGCTCTCCTTTACTTTAGGGAGTCGTCCAGCAGCGAAGTCTAGTTTATTTACTCAGGTTGCCGATTGAAGTTATCACTCTTTGCTAGCTAGGAGGAACGTTAGCAGGCCAATTAATAAGCTGTTCTTTGGTGTTTTTCCGCTCTCTAAGGTAAGAGCTAATATCATTCGCTATTAGGTGAGTTGGAGCTAGCTGACAGCTAGTAGTTATCACTAATTACGACTTCACATGTTATATATATATGTTGCTGTCGGTACACTAAAATCGTGGCATAGCTCCTGACTTTGTCCGAACGCAGATGTTAGCTCTTGTTGATCTGTGTTAGCAAGTTTAACACGAGGATTAGTGTGTTTAAAGCCTGTTTTAGTGGATCGTTTTAAACCAGTAACACTGACGTACGTAACGAAAATAAACCAGGTAACATGTGATCTAGAAAGACCAAAAGGGCCATTTGCGCGATGCGTTTCACTTCTAAGTGACTTGTACTTGTGATCAAGTTTGGGGTCGAAGTTAAGTAAGCAGTAAAATATCATTTGAATAACCTTTAGCCCTTTCAAAGTCTAGCCAAGATAATCATTTCCCTGCATGTGCTGTACTTAATAGAAGTTTACCAATTGTCTTGTTTCAGAGCAATGGAGAAAGCTAAACAAGATGCATTTGATAATGCCAGACTTCAAGTGATCAAAGATGGCTATGAAAGGGCCTTCGAGTGCATCAATAAAGGACTCACTGCAGATGAAGCCGGAGACAAGAGTCAGGCCCTGGAGCTCTACAAGAAAGGACGACAGCACCTTCTTAGGGCTATCAGTGTACCTTCGAAGGGGGAAGAGTGTGTTGGCAACTCCTGGGAATCAGCAAGGCAGATGCAGCAGAAGATGCAGGAGACCCTGAACAACATCACCACCCGCATGGCCATACTAGAGACCAGCTCTGACCCTGAATCTGCAGTATCTGCCCCTGATGCAACAAGCATTTCTGCAAAAGGTCTCTACCCAGGACTTCCCACCACAGAGAAGCCAGTACGGCCGCCTCCACCAGACATTCCTTCTGCTAATGGTCAGCCAGCTAGAGCTGTAGGAGCTTTGCCTCCAAGCGGAGGAGTGGGTCTACCCCTCTCACCTACCAGACCCTCTGCGGTTCCTGCCGAACAGCCTCCAGCCTACTCTCCTCAGGCAGCCGATGGTCACATATCAGTCTCATATGGAACAGATTCAGGGGAGATGTCATTGGTCGGGGAAGAGTTCTACAGTCATACATCTAACTCGACACCTTCCCCTCAGAGCATAGGTGAAGATGGAGAGGAGCTGCTGTACATTCCCAACGGTGTGCAGATATTTTTTGTCACACCTGAGGGGCAAGTGAGCGCTCCCTCATACCCCGGCTACCTGCGGCTGGTGAGGTTTACCAGCGATCACTCAGACAGAGTGCCTAATCGACCACCAGCATTTCTGCAGGTGAGAGGGGGAAAATTATGTTATTTATATATATATATATCTCTTTTTACTTTGTTATTTTAAAATTATACATTCATGTGGTGTTAAGCAATCACTCAAAAAATATGTTATCAGTTCTCTTCCTCATTTTCTTTTTTGTGTCCCTTTACCCGATTTCATAAGATGTTTGCTCAATTTCTTAATATCCGCATTACAGTGAGTCATCAACAGAGGGACATAGGCCGGTTAAAGATCAATGTCCCTCCTTCCTAAGGACAGAGTCATGTGAGGGTTGTTTACCTAATGCCCTAGTCCCAGTAGGTAGGTTAATGGCTATGATGTCATCCTCGGGGGAATCCCAGACATGAATCAGATTTGGGGCACAGGTGACAATATTCAGAAAAAGAAATGAAGTTATTTGGAGTGTTCATATGTGTAGGCATGTGCACTATGCCAAGATGATGTGTGAACTTAATTTTCCGTTTTAAAAAGAAAATGACAGTAGCTAGGAGCTAGATGGGCATGCAGCTCCCAAACTGACAGGTGTGTCTAAATGTATTTTAATATAAATGAAAAAGTATAAAGTTTTTTTTAGTAGGAGGTGGGTGTTTTTGTGTGTTTGTTTGTTTTTTTACACATTTAAAACTAAAGCAGTGTTTGAACATTAATATCTCAAAGACCTTTAAAGATGAAAACCTTGACCTTTACCTGTAAATTGAATGAGGATGTGCACTTAAAGCCAAATTAAAAACCAGAATCTTCTAGGAAGCTAGAGTACCCACACAAACACTCGGAGAACATGCAAACTCAACACAGCAAAATGGTGGAGTCGAACTCAGGACCTTTTTGCTGTGAGGCAATAGTGCTAACCACTGCACCACCTGTTTCGTAAAATGTGTAGAATCACATATTAACATGAAATTGTTAGTCACAAAAATAAATAAAACACTGTTATTTGGTAATGGGTTTTTTTTTTGTTGTTTTTTTTTATTGGGGGGGGATTTTTTAACAGATGAGCATGATGTAGTTTGAGATGCTTTCCAGATTTTTCTTTTTCTTTTGACTTGAAATAAGTTGGTTAATAAAAACCAATGATGCAGTGAAATCAAAGGTTGTGAGGTGTTTTGAACTGCCAAGTTGGATTTGTACAGGTCAACACCGCAACCAGTCAATGATAAGATAAGAAAGGGTTTGGAGGTATGTAGACAGCTTAAGCTCTTTATTAAGAGACTAAATCAATAAGACCAAATGTCTCTAACCTATTCAGGATTATTTGTTATGATTACATTTGCCTTTCATGCCACTAGTGTCATGAGACTAAAATTTGCCTATTTAGTGGGGGATTTCCCAGGTGTTATTGAAAGTGTGTGACATCAGTGATTCACATGAGTGCAAGTAATTACGTAAACCCAGCTTACACAGTTATGCTCTGTAATCTTGTTAGACATGCAGCAATCACAGGATGACTGTGTACTCTAGTTTGTCTCACTGTGTTGTGCAGAAGCACCATTTGTAAAACCAGGATTCAATCACGGTTACTTTTGAAAACCTCTAGTAAAACAATATGTCTGCAGACTGCTTTCTCCTGTTAAATGTTACTTTCACCTCAATTCACTTACTATACTATATTACACACATCATTTCATATCATAGTATACCTGTTTTGATTTGTTTTTAATCACATTTTCCATCTGTTGCATTCTTTATTTTCTTCACTTTCTTTTGATCCTGGCAGGTGTGTGACTGGCTGTACCCTCTCATGGCCATGAACTCTCCAGTGTTACTCTGTAACACTGGTGTGTTTATGTTTCCGGACATGATGGCACCAGCTCCAGGGTATTATGTGGGAGTGGTTTTGTCCTCTGAGCTCCCTGCTACAGACAGAGGACTGTTTCAGGACCTGTTGTCCCAGATGACAGATCTGAGGGTTCAGGTCAGTGTGTTTCACTGTGGTTAGATCTGCAACAGCATGAAATATTTGGTATTATCTGGCAAACAATTGCAAACAGAGACCAAGCTGTAAGGCCTGTGTTTCCCAAACAGTAGAGTCTGTGGCTAAATATATCCCCAAACAGAGATCATGCTGTATTTGATTTCTGTGTTTAAAGAAATAACAAGATTTTTTTTTTTTAAACTAGAAAATCTAAACTTTCCCAACTTCAGATTTTTTAAATTCCAGTTTAATTGTTTTGTTGATTCTTACACAAACAACACTTTTGATGCTGCACTCGGCTGTATTGTTGGCTTGCAATGAAACTCTTGCTGCTGCTTATTTCTGATCTAGCAGCCCTCCCCAAATTACCCCTGCCTCAGCATTGTGGGGATTTGACTCAGGCAGGTGAGGAGAATTAATCAGTTATAATGCTCTTATCTGCAGCAGTTAGAACCTCAGAGCTTCAGCTGAAAGACAAGTGCCAGTTTAGCCATGATGGAGGTGTCATTTTGATTGGAGTGACACCAGGCAAGGTCATTTTTAATGAATGCACACAGCCTAATTATCTTGTCAAATGGAGGTGATATCACATCAGAAAGTAAGCAATTTTTTTTTAAATTTCTTTATTATTCAGTCTAATAGGATACCAGAGATTTTTAGCTCAAATCTTTCGTTACAGCAGAGAGACGTTTTTAAAATGGCAGTCTGTTTGAGAGCAAACAAATAGCGCATTGTAATGAGGAGTGCAGAATGAGAGGATGCATTGTGTGCATTGGGGGGTTACTGGGAGACGAACATCTGTAGATGTGTGCAGCTTCCACAAGTTGTCCAAAGTATTTATTTTCATCCCACACTGTCTGTCTTCATTCTGCACTGGCTAACCAATGTGTCTCTATGATCAGGCTCCAGAAGAAGCTGCAGATACCATTAATCTCAGCCAGAAGGTGTCTGTTGATACACCTGAGCAACCAGCAGAGGCTCCTGCAGAGACTCCAGCAGAGACTGAAGAGGAAAAGACTTTACCTGAATGGAGTGAAAAGGTGGCAAGCGGGATCCTGACAGGTAAGCAGTGTCTCTTAAATTTTTAATATCATTGTTTTACAAAGTTAGGAGTTAGTTTGGAATTGGATTGTTTATGAATATAGGTCAGCAGTCCTCACTAATGATCACTAACGCTGTCTGCCCTGTGTGATCCTGTCAGGTGCATCCTGGCTAAGCTGGGGACTGGTCAAAGGAGCTGAGTACACAGGCATAGCCATTCACAAAGGGGCAGCTAAACTCAGAGAACATATCACTCCAGAGGACAAACCCACCCCCGTCAGCCCCACAGTCACAAAAGGCCTCCATGTTGCCAAGCAAGCTACAGGAGGAGCTGTCAAAGTCAGCCAGTTTCTAGGTCATTAAGTCATCTTCAGTCAGCATTTTTTACTGCCCTTGAGTGTTAATTTGGCAGTGAACTTATAATTTACTAATGCTTTCTTACTGCAGTGGATGGCGTGTGTTCTGTTGCTAGCTGCGTGGGTCGAGAGTTGGCTCCACATGTGAAAAAACACGGAGGCAAGCTGATCCCAGAGTCTATGAAGAAGGATAAAGATGGGCGTTCCAACATTGATGGAGCCATGGTGGTGGCTGCAAGTGGTGTGCAAGGTAAAGTTAATTTTCACTTTATATTCTTTAAAACATGTTTTTTGTTGTTTTTTTGGGGGGGGCGGGGTTGTTTGTTTTAATTAAACCATAGTCTTTAATGTTTGTACTTTTATATATACACAGACATTTTTGAAAAGACCTTTTGGTCATTTGTCACATGACCAGAAATTAAAAAAATAAATAAATAAGAGCTTTTCTATGACAAGTGTGTAGAGGATAGTATTCAGCCGTGCAGTGTATTGTCATGCACTGGCAGAGAGCATGGTAAAAAAGCATTTTTTTGTTTTGCTTTTCCTGCATTGACCACCACATCCTTTTCACCAGGTTTGGCACCCTCTGACTTTGCCCTCTTTCCCAAAATTCAGCTTGAATGTCTGCTGTGTAAAATAGCAGCTATTCTGGAAATGTTACAGTAAAAAACACACTTCTTGGGAATTTTGTCCAGTCTGAATCTGATGTATTTCATTATTACGCCCTTTGCATAAATGTATCTACCCTTACAAACAAACACATACAAATAATACTCTTGTGTTTTCCCAGGATTTGCAACCATGTGGACAGGTTTGGAAGTAGCAGCAAAGGACATAGCTACAAGTGTAGCTTCAGAAACAGTGACCACCGTAAAACACAAGTAAGAAATTAAATAAATATAGTTTAATTACTTCTGACTACTGTCACTGCTTGAATGTGCACATATGCAATTTTTTGATCAGCACTGCTCGGGAGACGGGTTTTTGATGTGTATGTTGTAAATGACTGCATACATTGTGTAAGCAAAAACCAAAAGTGCACTCACTCTCTTCAATTTGCTTTGCAGATTTAGGGGTCTACAAAACAACTCTGACACTCCTAATGAGACAAAGTGTAATTTTTCCTGATTCTCCACAACTGTTTAATGCTTTTCACTTCTAATTGTGCACATAACACAAGCTTCTGGGTTTTTTTTGTTCTCTTTAACAAAGCACTCTTCAGCCCTATGCCGTACCAGTTCACTCCCTTTTCTTGTGTGCCAATTTGGATTACGGGGCCTCTTTAAGTGATTCCATTGATTTCTAACAGTGTTTCTGAAGGAAATGTTATAATTGACAGTATTTTCATCCTGCCTGCTTCAGTGGGTTCTCGTGTTCTAAGAAATTCTGCAAAATGGTTATCAGATATCTTCACATCAGAGTTAAAAACTGGTTTCAGGAGGGAAATTCTTAAAATGTTCTTATAATGATGAAAATCTGCCGTACTGTTTCTTTCTTTGAATACGTTTTGGCTTCGTTAGGCATTCCTGGGAAATCACTAAGCTGGACTCTACAGTATTACATTTGCTTTGTTTTTGCATGCATGTGTCAATACAAGTTGATTTGGTTAGAATTTGTAAATGAAATTGGCCAAAAAAGATCTTCCCATCTGCTTCCAATTGGGTAAAATTGCCAATATTCTGGCAAACAAATGTATTTATTCCAGATTGCACACTTGCATGCACTTGCAACCCTCACTCCCTCACAGAAATTCACTCGACGCATGATGGTATCTTTACAGTCTTTGCACTACATATTAATTAATTCTTCCCATACCCTCTCCTCCCCGCCTCTCGCTCTGACCTCTCACTCAATCTGACTCTGAAGGTACGGAGCAGCGGCAGGACAAGCCACAGACCACGCTGTCAATTCTGCCATTAATGTCGGTATCACTGCCTTCAATGTTGACAACCTGGGGATCAAAGCTGTGGTGAAAAGGACTGGCAGGCACACAGCGCAAGCACTTTTGGAAGACTACAAGATTCAGAAAAAACCTGAAAATGGGACTCAAGTGGAGAAGTTGGAGAAATAGCTGGTAGTGTCTTGCCTCATTCCCACAGCAATGCCTTAAAACAAAATTTGTAATTTCTATTAAATCATTCTATATTTAATATTCTTTATTTATAAAACTGGTTCTAGATTTACAAGGTAACTACTGATTATATTCATATCCTATAGTTTGATACTGCTTGGAACTTGCACTTTAATATTTATGTAATACAGGAAGATTGGACCTAAATGTGAAGGACCTGAAAATTATATAATACACACCAAAAGATTAATTATAAATGATACAATATCCTACATAACATTTAATTCATTTTGAACTGTTTAACACTGCTGTTTGTATGAAGAAAGCTTTGTTCTTGAATAGAGACCTAATTATTTAATATGCATTTGTGTGTTTCCCATAATAGCAAATGTGTTTTAAACAAAAGATGATGAAATATGTGTGCATATTTACTTTCACATATATTTAAGACCAAAGTAATACCAGCTGTACTGTTTCACTATGGTGTTGAAAATGTCAAGTTATCTCTGCTTCTAACTGTGCCTTCAAATATCAAATGATAACGTTAAAAATATTTCAAGCTCCAAAATTTGACTAAAACGCAACAGATTCTGGACAAGTATGTAGTCTCTCTATACTCAATCAGTAACCAGTAAGATGTAAATGCATCTCAGGAGTCTAAAAGATGTTGTGCTCCAGTCTGCAGGGCTTGCTTCTGTATTTTCGACTTAGTTGTAGCCATGTTATTTTTAAATGTGGCTTATTGTATTTCATAAAAAATTCACTGTAATATGTAAACAAATATATCCCGAAGAGTATTTGTAATGTTTAAATGGCCTCTAGTTGCACATTGAGATTTTGTTCCCAGCTGAATTACTCAATAAAGATGAAGACTAAATGAAGCATCCTTAGGAGTCTAAAGTAAATATTTTGTGCCAGCAGAAGTGCATATTTGCGAGTGCAGTCAATTACTTTTAATTCCTCAGGAGTTAGGGTAGTTAAGTGTGAACCATGAGCCTAGTACCTCCACCTAGTGGCGACCATTCGATCAAGCTTAATTTAACCATGTACATTCATGTCTCCTGAATGGGTGATCCAGATTAGTTTTCTTCTTTAATACCAGCTAAACACGAGGTAAAATTAAGTGCAGGTACAAAGAGATTTGTGAAAAAGCCTTGAGCCAGCCCCTTAGTTACTTTTGCTTGCAAGGAGCCAGATGTTGTCATTTTTATTTAGTTATTAAAGTGGTCTTGACCAGTAGTTCTCCAGGCTTCCTGGAAATATTCCAAACCTTTTTCAGATATTGGCTGCTTTTCAACCATTTTCAGTCCAGTTCTTGTACCTGACAATTTTTAGAGGAATGTTTTAGAGGAAGCTACTTAACACAAAATTTAAGTACAAAAGAAATAAATGTTTTGATAAGCAACATTCATGCAATAAAAAGGCTTCCAACTCGAGGGATGAACCAATGTTGTCTCTACAGGCAAAAGAACCAGTTTTAAACTTTATCTTTAGGCACTTTGATACCTCTAGCCTGTCACAAAACAATTTCTTCAGCCTTAGTTTGCAGAATTCTCATCAGAAATTGTCTCAGTGAAAGGGTGGCTGACAAGAAGCCATTCTCAAGGAAGGGAAACTGGGGGGGAAAGGCTGAGGTGTGCTAAATTATACAAGAACTGGACTGCAAATTGGATCTTATGGCGTGAGTAATCCATATTTGAAAATTTTGGTTCAAATCGGATGTACAGAGGTCAGCTGGAAAAGGGTACTGCAGGGAGTGTTTATAGCCACCTGTAAAACACGATGGAGGGTCAGTCATGGTTTGGTGCTCCTTTTTTTTTCTTTTTTTTTTTATGAACAAGGTTTTGGTCCACCATGCAACACAGTTTATAAAAGAGGGTAATTTTCCAGCATGATAATACAGTAAAAACACACATACACAATGGAATACTATCAGTCATACACTATCCTCCCCAGAGCCCATACGTCAGCACGACTGAAGGAGTACGGGATCATCTTAACTGAAAGGAACAAAAGCAGCCAACATCCAAAGGAAAGATTTGAATGTCCTTCGAGAAGCCTGGAGAATTATTCCTGATGACTACTTCATAAAGTTGCAAGAAAGCTTGCCTGAGAGTGTTCAGGCTGTGAAGAAGAAAAAAGACGTTCATAAGGACTGAGGTTCAAGCTTGTCAGAATTTAACAAATTAAAATATACTTCATTTCCATTAATGTTTGTACATTTCACTGATTACTGTATCATTTGTCATTTTGCCAAAAAAAAAAAAAATTTAGGGGGCTTAAGACTTACACATATTGAATATTTACATTCAGTACATAAATTATTCCATTTATTTCAGCAGCTTATAAAGATTTTTCAACTGATAAGATGCCATATCTTTACTCAAACTTCACATAGGTATCCAGTCCAGTTGTTTGTTTAGCATCTCATTTTTAATGTACTCGCTGGAGAGGGAAAAGCAAATTGTAATAATTGCAAATGCAGCATTTTGCCCGTGTTCGTCGGTTTTATATTTCAAGATTAAATGCTTTGAGGTTTCTAGTGGAAATTATGACTCATCTTTACTATAATTCCTACAATGATGCACTGAAAAATTAAAGATGTTACTCAATATGAAAAGAAATGTCATCTGCATCAGTCTGACAATGCAGGGGGAAAAAAATGCAAACATTTTTATCAAATATTGGCAAAACACGTTCAATGAAGTCTGCAGACCGAACTGCATAAATACCTCATGGTGTTGCTATAAGCTAATCATTTCGAAACTTTCTGTATATGCGGTCTAAACATCTTTTATACACAAATTAAAATAAAAAGGAAAGAAAAAAAAATACAGCCGTCTCTCTACTAGCTGCTCATTTCAAACTGCAAAGTTGCAGTAACTTTGTACTTAATCAGGACCCGTTTCGGGGGAAAGGACAAAATCTACAAGATTAGGATCAGGGAAGCACAAGTTACAACTGCTATCCAAAAGCAAATCGAGCCAAAATGGACTAAACACATCACACTGACTGTCTGTTAAAAGGCAGTTGGCACTGTCTGGGAAAAGTCTTGAATCGCACAAAGCTTCTGAAACTGCAAGAGTGACGTCATCAGAGCTTGAAGGTTCCCTTTGAAGTTTACATGGTGGGATAACTAGTTGGCTTGTAAAATCTATTGATACAATGTCAGGTTGGCTAACCTGAGGTAAGTCAGTGTAACACACTTCAGTTTTTTCAGGTGGGGTATAGGCTTGGCCACAATGACCTGATAGGAAAGTAACAGGATCCACCTGGTGAGAAGCAGCATCCCATAACATATGGCTTGAAGATGAGCTGGGTAAAAAAGTGTGGCTGATATCTGCTGATGTGAAAGCACATGAAGTTGCATTCATAAATGCGGTGGCTGAATTTATCCAGTTATTTTCCACAAATTGAAATGAGGCAGAGAGAAATTGATCCTGGCACACTGGCAGCATTTGTCCTCGGGGAACAGTCGATTTATCCAACAATATTGGCGGGGCATGTGCTGTGGTCAGGCTGCGCGCTCGAGGAAGTGTTTCATCCATCGTCAGAGGACTATTTGTTGTGATAGATGGCTGATTTACTTCTTTACAGAGGTCTTTCTGAGGGCATCTTGAGACATGATCTGAAATTTAGCAGTATGTTAACAAATACAACAATGTACCAAAGAAAGATTTTTTTTTTTATTTATTTTAAATTAAAAACAATTCCTCACTTGACTTTTTAACAGCCGGCTTTGTCCTTTGAAGCATTCTTTTTAAGCCTGATCGTTTTTCTGTTAGAAAAAAAAAAACCAAAAACCAGACAGTCAGCTTGGTATTCTTACCATTTAGCGAGTTAAAATAAATCATCTGAGTGTTCAAAACTCTTATTTGGATCGTGTACCTTTTCTTTTGTGATCTCTGTATGCTTTTTCAGAAAATGCTGAAATTCATCTCAACCACTCAACCTGGGAAAGGAAAAAAAAAAAGAACATTAAAATGATCATAACATTTACTTATAATATTGATATCAGGATGCATTAGACCTACTTTAGACAGAATACCTAAAGGAAGAGTCTCTTTCAAATAGCTTTTATAATTCGCGGTGAGCTCTAGTGTGTCTGCTATGTCTAACTGACCGTTGACAAAGGGCAGAAGATCACACAAGTGTTGACAAGATGTTCTGATTTGAAGCCTGGGAACATGTCAATATGTGCAGTAAAGAAGTTACAGTTACGGTGGTGATGTGAAACCATACAAGAAATGGCCAAGGAAGAGTTTTTGGTTGCTTTGATAGCACACCCTGGAATTGTGAAAGTCTAACCTCCGCCTCTGTTCTTTGCAGCAATGACTGATTGAAGTCTGGAACTCACTTTTCTGTGAAGAAGAAGGATAACACTTCTCCATGGTAGGTTCATTTTTTTATTTATTTTTTTTATCTCATCCTCAAGCCTGAGGAGAAAAAATATCTCTGAATGTCATAACACACAATGACAATGTATTCAGAAACTTTTAAGAAAACATCAAAATGACTTTTTCCCTTACTGCTCAGGTGCTGAAGATTTATATGACTGCAGTTTTTGGCTCCTGAGTTTGTCTGAAAGAAGTGCAACCAAAGGTTAATGTACTGTTAGCATACACTGTCAAGGTGCTGTTCTAAAGGCTGGAGTTACTTCCTTATTTTAAATAGAAACCTTTGTAAGGAGCATTAGAAAGTTAAGCTTTGTATAGACTTTGTAACCACAGCACCATACATACATTTAATGCATGAATAAAACATTTTAAATCACGGAGTAAAACTGGACTAAAGAACAAGAAAGTAGCGTGCTACTTAAAGCCTGGACAAAACTCTTAGGCAAGAAAAGTTAGTAAATTTTGTAGCAAGTCACAAGTTGTTAATTATATTTAGAACCTTTTAGTTGTATAACCTGATGAGCGCACTTTTGTTTGCCAATAATCTTCCAAAGTTAGAGAATAACAAAGTTATGTTTTCAGCTCTTGGACAAAAGCCACACAGTAATGTGATTCTTGGCATCAGGTTTAAATTGAGAAAAAAAAATGCTGACAAATATAAATCCAAGATGTTCAAAAATGTATTATTAACACAAGCTGTCAGCCTATAAATATATACTAATGATTTTTTATTTTTTATTTTATTTTTTTTTAAAAACCAAATTACTCGTTAGTTGGTCGTTTTTCTCATTCTTAAGTTGTGCTTTTAGTTTCCCTGTTAAAGGCGACATTAATCAGCCCCTCAGGCGCATTTCAGGAGCAGGTCCAAATGAACTTGTTAATTTCTCACATTACCAACACCTGTGTAAGCTTCTCCCGTTACACACAACTGCAGTGCATTATTACCGCCATACCTGCTGTCTACGTTGTTAGCGCATGCGTGAATTTTATTACTCATCTTCAACGATAATAACCGTTTAAACGAGCTAAAACACGTGCTAGAATCTAAACTTACGGTTTGATTCGAGTTTTCTTTTTTAATTCAGTGCAAATGGTTGGTTAATTACTTAAAGAAACACTAATAGTAAGTTATTTCTTTTGCCGTTTTGTTTAAAAATGTCTGTAAGATATACCATAAGGTAGCTTAAATTGGGAAAGTCACCATTTTATTGTTACTTTAGTGAAATAAACCTGCAGGCCAACTACACCTGGAAGTTAAAATAAAACTTAAGGGTTTTTTTTTATTGCGAACTAACGGGTAAAACTTAACGAGGATTAGTAGTTTTGATTCTAATCATCCCTAATAGTGCTACTAAAGCAGGTCAACACGAACGCGCATTTTATTAATACGTGCGAGAACGCGCCCCGGCAGCAGCGTGCACGAGGAAGGCTGACAGCAGAGCGGTCCGGTAAATCACTGCAATGGAAGAGGAGTAAGGGAGGGTGGAGGACACCGGCTACAGCCCTGCCTCCAATCTGCATGTGAGTACACAGCAGAGTAGACACACGGCAGGGAAGCAGAGCACCATCACAGGGCAACAAAGGGACGCATGGTTCATACAAGGTATCCAATAAATAAAAGATCTGAGACACGTTTCGCCTGGAAGCGTTTGATTACATCCGTCTTCACCTCAGAGGTAAGATTGCACAGAAACTAGAAGATCCTGCTGATTACCGTTTCCTTCCTTTTGTATTTTTAAGGTTTACCTTTCAATAAGCTTTTAGCCAGAATCCCACAAGAGACTGTTACTGTCCATATATTATCCACAGTAAATGCATGTGAATTTTATATATTTAAATTGAGACACTCCAGAGAACATGAAATGGGTGTGACATGCTACTTCATAATGTGTGTATGAGCAGCAGTTGCAGCATCAAGGCTTGTGCCAGTGCTGAAGCAGGATGTATAAGCCACTAGACTTAAAGGGAACGTAATTGGTGTAATATGTTATAAGTTAAAATGGTATTCAGATTGCAAGCATGTTCTTTTCTCATATTATTCAGTATAATAGCACAGCACAGACATGGAGCTGGAACACTTTGATGAGCGGGACAAGGCTCAAAGATACACCCGAAGGGGCTCGAGAGGGAATGGGCTCCCCAGTCCCACTCACAGCGCTCACTGCAGCCTGTACAGAACCAGGACACTGCAAGCACTAAGCTCAGAAAAGAAGGCCAAGAAGATCCGTTTCTACCGCAATGGAGACCGATACTTCAAGGGGATTGTGTATGCCATTTCTCAGGACCGATTTAGGTCTCTTGAGGCACTCTTGGCTGACCTTACAAGATGTCTGTCAGATAATGTCAACTTACCCCAGGGAGTACGGACCATATACACGATTGATGGGTCAATAAGGATCACCAGCATGGACCAGCTGGTGGAAGGTGAGCATTGTTTCTAAACAGTTTTAAGCCTGCCTTAGATTTGGCTTCTATTAAGTAAAATAGTTATCTAGTAAAATAAAATATGATGGAAATGACACTAAAATAGGAGATAAAAACAAAAACCCTTAAATTCTTCTGCTCTGACACAACCTATACTTTTTTTTTTTTTTATATGCCATGTTTGTGTTAGCATTGCTAATGGGCTGAGAAAATCTGTTGTCTTGTTGTTGTTGTTTTCCTCCAGGAGAGAGCTATGTTTGTGCGTCTATAGAGCCATACAAGAAGGTGGACTACACAAAGAATGTAAATCCCAACTGGTCAGTTGGTCCTAAGACTGCTGTGTCTGTCCGTGACCCTTCTTCCCTTGGTAGTGGCAAGGCTGGATCTCCAGAAACCAGGGAGACCAAGGACTTCATCAAGCCCAAACTGGTGACGATTGTCCGCAGTGGAGTAAAACCTCGCAAGGCTGTACGGATCTTGCTCAACAAGAAGACTGCACACTCCTTTGAGCAAGTCATGACCGACATCACAGATGCCATCAAGTTAGACTCTGGAATCGTCAAAAGGCTTTATACCGTTGATGGGAAGGCGGTAGGTGTTAAATTGTTGTTTCTGCAGAGTTATCGGTTTGTTCATTTCAAAGACTTCTAGTACCAGCAACAACATATTTCCAAGTGCGGTTCAAATAGGAAAGCATTCGCATTAGGTAGTGACTTTGGGAATCTCAGGCATCACCAAAAAGTTGCAAATATAATGGGATTTTATTTTCCCACAGTAAGCACGTTTGTCACTACAGCTAAAGGTGTTTAAAGTATGAAGTGACTTTCAGTGCTGTCCTTACTCAGAGGAAGCATTAAGTATACGTCTCACAACTGTGCCATTCAGGACAAGTTACATAAGTGCCTGATGATCTTCTGTTTGTATTTACACAAGTGTGTTTGTGCTTGCCATTAGTGAAGCTATGTGCACATTCATGTAACAAGCAGCGCTTTTGATACAATAAATTTGAAAAGTTTAAAAGAAGAGATGTTATTTACCTTCACATTTCCCTATTTCAAACTAAAGCTCTTAACACCAAATGTTTTTATTTGAAAATCATGGACAAAGGCAAAGCAGGAAGAACAACCATACAGTAAGAGCCCGGTACCTACAAGAGTGCAATTGCTTTATCTTAAGCTTCTCCACCACTTAAACATATAATTGGTCACAAGTGGGAAGGGTTGAAGGATGCTTCTGTAGAAAAGAAGTCAAAGTAAAATGGGATCATGCCTCCTCAGCCCTTGTAAGTGGTTTTGGAGACAGGTATCCTGGTGTTGCCATGCTGAATTCCCATTTGTGGTGCTGTGTTACATCTTAAGTTTGATTTTAGAACATTGCAATGAACCGCACTTGGTAGATATTTGCAGGAGGCTTAAAAGATTTGGAGTTATGCATCTGACATCAGAGGCTGTGTGGTCTGTTCTTCAGTCTTGTCCCTGAGAATTGCTTCCTTACCCAACAAGAGAGCCCAGCAGGTTCAGAGTCATCTGGGAATATGTGTAAAATGTATTATGAGAAATAGGTTTCTAGGACTCCATCTCATATTCCTACTAACAGTAACACACTATTAAGTGTAAGTGAGTTTGTACAAAACATGCAATCTGATCAGCGACTTGAGACTTAATTATAAAGCTTCTTATATTCTTGCTTCGACTATATGCTCTAAATACTCTGGACTGTTATTATTTATACATTGATAACTACACTGTATATGTAGACTAATTATATTAACCTTTGCTTGGAAATTATGGGAGTCATAAGTGACTATCAGTTTTATATGTAGGGCTGACATGGCTGGACAGCATGCAAGTACCACCTACACTACGAACTGTCTAAACATTTCACAGAAATAGTTAGGGCACTCTGTATTAGTATCCCTCTGACTTTTTTTTATCCCCCCGCTGTGATGGTCTCTATGGTAAAATGGTTTCCTGAGCTGGTTGCTAAGGAACAGCCTCTGCGGCAGAGCGGTGCAGTACTGATGTCAGGACTGTAGGTGTATTGTGAAAAGGCTCACAGATGCAGTGCTCAGTCTGTCAGCCTTATTATTACACACGGCGGCAAGATGGAGCACATGGCTAAGGTGTAATCCCAGGAAAGCATCCTTTGTGTAATGGTATGTAGAAGGAACAGTTGGAGTTTTTCACACTAACAAACAAATCTGCCTTCGGAATATCCTCTGTTGTTTTAGGAATAGAGATTTGTTTAGCAAAAAGCACAATGATACTGCAATTAATTAAAAGTAGAGTCCCACTCTATGGAAAAAGTAGGAAATTCAGATTTATTTTTTTATGGTCCTCTCACCGTCTCTAACTGCCTTTTGTATCTGCTTCTGGATTTTGTTAACTGTATCCCCAATAATAAGCTGCTTGTGTGCTTGGTAGTGCCTTCATTTCTCTGGTTTTGTGACTTTTTGCCCTGTTGTGCCACCAGATGGCCAAATAAACACCCATTGGCATTAAGAGACCTGTTTTCACGGGTATTTAACCTTTTGGTAAATGACCTGCTTTCTGGGGTTCTTAGACATTTTTAAAAGAAAAAAGAAAAATGTGACAGTTTATTTTTAAATACATTGTTTTCCAGTAAGAATTAAGTACAGATTAAATTTAAACAGCTGTAATTGATTGTTATGCATTTCTTTTTTGAGTCTGCTGGTAAATTAGCAGTGGCATTCCTGTGATTTGTTGTTTTATCCTTAGTTGTCTTTGACTCATGATTCATGGTTCTATTTGTGGATCAGCTTGGCGGGTGGCTGTGCTTGACGCCGGTGATCCTACATACTGCTGAGTCACTCTGTAATGGTGCACTGCCATGCAATGTGTGTCTAAATACATAGAGAAAATAAAATCAGTAAGGACTTAGCCACAATAAAGGCACTCCAAGACACTGTAATGCACAGAGAAAAGTGATGGAGAGATGCATGCTCCACAGATAAGACCAACACAGTGGGACTTATCTATAGGGACATGGCCTGTTATGACCCCTGATATTATTCGTCAGATGGAGCAAAGAGTATTTCTAAGACTGAGTAGGTCTGAGGGGACTCGATCATGATGTTCCCATCCCTGCTCAAATGGATGTGGCTCCGCACTATAACTGTATTATGCACAGTGCTAAGTTCTCTTCATGCTAAAGTCAACACTTCTTGTTCAAATAGATGTCAACAGCCACCCGAGGATAGTCTAGCTTCACATCAGTGCATGAAAGCAGAGGCTTACGCCTCCTTTCTAAAGTTATGTATGAGAGGATGTGATTAAATGGTCCATTCATGCTTTGCCAATCAGATACACAGTGGATGTGGTTGGAATTTAAGGTGCTCTGTGTACAAGAGAGCTGAAGCTAACATAATGTTTTTCTAATTCATTCCTTTAAGTTGACTTTGACTCTGCCGTTTTCTGGTCTGGATTTACCCACAATTAATCTCTTTGGTTTCTACTCATACCACAAATGTCACGTCTGCTCTATGGATCCTGGCTGTAACTCTCATCTCACTGTCTTAGGAAAATCTCACTTTGTTTATTGATTCAATAAATAAAATGACTAAATGGTTTTAGTTGCTCTGCAGCCTTCTCAAATTCGATGTGCAAAAAGATGAACAAAATGGAAGAGTGCCTCACTTTCCTCCCACTTTCTGTAGTCTGGCTGTACAAAGAAGTGCCTTCATGTGCCACTTCATTTGGTAGATATGATTTTTAGCTCATCCAGCCAAAGGACTGATGACCTCATGCCATAGCGAGGCAGCTGTCCAGCCACAGTTAAAACTCGCTATTCCTCCTCAAGTATTGGTCAGATTTTAGTGAAACCTGCACACAGTGATCACCTAATGGATCTTCATACAAACTGTGCTCAATTGTGATGGATTACATGCTGGATGAGCTTCGTCATTGCATTATCCCTTCAACCTACCCGTTGCACTCGGTGGAATTTTCTGTTTGTGGAATTCAAAAGAAGCTTTACAGCATGTGAACATCCTGAGCTGTGTAAAGAAAATCTTTACAGTAACTTGTGTGTGATGTTGCAGTGAAACTAATCTTGAATATTTTAAAAGTTTAGGTGATAATATTGATCATCTGTCCGTTATTATATCGACTTTTTTGCATGCTCTCATTATACCAAAAATATTTGCAGGGCGTGGTTATTATCTTGGCTGGTTATTATAAATGTTTTTGGGGGTGTTTTTTGGTTTTGAAACACTTCTAAGAGCTAAGTGTAGAAACTTAGTTTCCTTCAATGTTTTTGGAGCAGCCCCTGTTAAGTCGCTGCTGTTTCTGCAGCAGAACTGATTTGGGCATTTGTACAACAGACTGCATATAAAGGAAGCTCATGCAAAATAGAACAAGAACCATTTGCCAAGTGGAGGTAAAGATGAGTCATGTTTCTTTCTGGCATGCTAGATGACTGGCTCCTGCTTTCACTCTCACACTTCAGAAGAAGCTTTAGTGTCCTGGAAGCTCCACCTGTGCATGCTTTGTGTTACACAATTGTGTTCCTTTATGTGGTCTTTCCTATGGCTTAAATCAATAGGCTTCTATAGCATGCATATATCCATTGTTATTTATTTCTGGAATGGATGTCAGGTGCAGCACTTGCGGAAATCATAGATAAAACCCTGGAAATCAATACTTCCCTAGGATGCTCCTGAATTGTGAAAAGTATGCGTGCGCTTTCTATGCGAATGGTAGGTTTAATGGAGTTGCTGTGTCACAGAGCCTGAAGGCAAAAATAATCAATATGAAGCATCACATTCACAGTTGCCTCTGTTATTTGGCTTCATCACAAGCTTGAGAATTCTAAATTCAAAGTACTTTGGTGGAACTACAGAACTCTGAAATAAGAGGTAACTTTTAGGTGTATTATAAGAAATCATTGATCAACATTTTTTTTCATGTTCTTTCATAACGTTATAAATCTTTTGTATATTTAAGGTGAACACTGCTGTTATTATTGAGAGTGCATATATCATTAATTGGATCTGTAAAAGGTTTTTAGCCCTTGGTAGGTATCATATTTTTAAACATTCAGACTCCACTATCTCATCATAATAATAATAATAATAATAATAATAATAATAATAATAATAATAATAATAATAATAA